CAGCACAAAGTGAGATTACTATCTGTCGGAGTGAATAATACTTTACTGTCAGTAAATGTCCTTGATTCATTATCACGCTGTGTTGCTATAGTCAATAAAATGTTCCAGTAAAATAAATGTCCGACATCAATCACCCCCGTTACCACGGTCTTGTTAATACAGTCGAACTTATTTGAAATACGGTATTTGATATTATTGTGAACATCCCCAAAACGGTTCTGCCAATTGGCGCGCAACGATAACTATCACAGTCAATTTCTACTAGTTCAATAGGCGTCTGTCAAAAGCCATTTACACATGCATTCCGGTGATGTATTACCACTAATAGCAGCCATGAGATTAAATCCTGACAATTAGCAATGCTTCCCACTGCAAAACTGTATGCAAATACATTAAAAGGTTTTGTTTGGGGAAAAGGATAATTAAGATTTAATTATATAAAAGGATGGAACCACGAATGTTTAACATGTGATGTGTAGCCTTGAGAAAAGCAGATAGTCAATAATATAAAACATACTATTCTAGCAGGCGTTACGTAGCGACAATTTGAAACATATATCAGTTGGGGTCATTTCCTGTTCAACTTTCTAGTGACAATGGAATTTATCTTACCTCACACATAAATGTCGTTTTCTGATTGGCTGAGAGCTCTCTTATTATTTTCAATGTACCCTGCCTACAAGCGAGTAACAGTTTCTATGTTACCCGCTGGGAATCCCGAACTGTGGAATTCATTTGGTACTTCGTCTTAGTAATTCTTTATCTCGAATAGTAGAGTCACGTATGATGTACGGAAATTACCGATGTTTTGCAAATGCAAATTGATGGAAGAGAGATAACTCTAGATTTGTTTTTCTTGTCCGTCGTTGTCAGGATTGGCTAATTGCCTACCTCTGGTACTCCGTATTATGATCCGATACCTGTGCTTCAAACAGTTCAAAATTAACATTGAGGTGTTCGATAAGATAAATACGTTATTCACTGGTCCCTTGGGGCCCATGGGTTAATGTACGCTCTATGTTTGTTTAAACAAACATAGAGAGTACATCAACCCATGCCCCCCTCGTGACCAGTGAACAAATTATAATAATAATAATAATCGGACAATGGTTTTTGGCAGATATATCTAATATATCTTGTTTTCCATTTATGTCTTGGGTACAATGTAGCCATAGGAAAAATGTGTTACATGAATAAACACTACAAATAAAGTCTTTGAATAAGAGTTAGAAGTGAAACACATGAAGGGGAAATTTTATGGATGATGAGTTCTGTAATAAGAGGAACACGACAATTCGGGGTATAGTCTTGCTCGTTCATCAGATAAATGGAAACTAGGAAGCAGAAAACTGCTAGTTGTATATGTACATGCGAACACAAAAAAGGCGATAACACAGGTATACAGTTGATAACGATATTTTTTTATCAAATGTTGTACCTTGTATGGCAATTACAGTTAATTGGCGCCGATTGGTCCAGGCAATGGACAGATAGGAGTCAGGGGTAAGTGTAGGCGTAATTAGTACTTAATGGGGAAAATGGGTTAATAGCACCGATTGAAAATAATGATGACATGCAGGACAAGTAAATAGCTGGCATAGATAATTATATCAATGTGTCCCTAACGAAAGCATTCTGTTCTTCATATTACACAAGTTGACATCATTCCCATTTTTACAAATATCTGATGACTATTGATAGCGGACCATGAAATTCGTTGACCTAGCAGCCCTATTGCGATAATATACATTGTTATTGTTTCAATTTGTAGATGTTTTTCTTTACCAACCAAACCCAGGCGTTGTTCAGGGCCCTGTCTGTGGCCGGGACTTCCTTCATGGAGACACCAACAACACTGTCACTTGGAATATGGTCCCTGTCGCTTCTCTCTTTGAAATACTGAAAACAGGTAAAAGTTCGGTATTATTCTTTCCGGAATAATAAACCATTGTAACAAAACAATTTCCATCAAAGGTAATCAAAATATTATGCATTATTATTTTCTGACAAAGTATTTTCGGTTTTCTTTAGTGCTTAGTATTCATATTTAGTATGAAAAGCAGACACCCAGAAGAATATCTGAATGCCTTTTGTAACTGCTGTTCAGGAAGAGGTTTTCATAACATTTTCAAACTATGCATATGTTTGCCAAAAAGGTACTGGTGGTTTCATCATCATTCATACCATTAATCAAACATTGATCTTACAACGAGTTGTAAGATTAATCACATCAATATATACACCTGTTCTGTTTTTACTTACGCTAAAATAGCATCATTGTAGCATCAAATATATTATAATTTTTGTCTCCTGTCAGCAACGCATTAAAACATAACACAATCGTCATGAGTGACGACACATTGCTTCTTGCCGCAAGTGGATGTGGAACCGTTCCACGTATTGTATTTCTTCTACATCGATGATTCTGTTCTGAGCAGGATATATATTCGTAATCCTTCTTTCCTCCTTGTGTAAGTCCTAAAGGTGTATTGATTGAAAGCGCCCTTCACCGGACATAGATAATTACTGCTGATTGATTGATACGAATGAACCTCTTTTATCAATATGTGATCATTGTCAGGGTCAACGATGTTTGGCGTCAACATTGAACTATCATTTATTAGCAGTTTAGACAAATCAGTTCTTAAAATATGTGTCAATGCTTATTCGTCATTCTAATGTCTTGCTCTGGTAGGCAATATTGTACTATTTCTTAACAGTCTGGACAAATCAGTTCTTAAAATGGGTCACTGTTGATTCGCCATTCTAAAACTGGTCATTACGTTTGGAATGTTTTATAAGATACTGAAAATACGTACGTACTCAAACACGTATTTTGTGAAAATTATGATTTTGTTTTCATTACAAGAAGATACGTTTATTGTGTCTCCTTACTCCAATCTGGCGTCTGTTTCACAAGGGACACTCAGTCCTTTCAGCTTGCCATTTGATGTCTTTGCAAGTGCCTTTCTCTCAAATTGAAACGTTGCCACCACTTCCATAGTTTTCATACCTACTTGTCGGTTGAAGTTCATGTTTTTAAGATATATTGTTTAAGATAATTATAGATGTAAGAATATATATAGTCGTTTTTGCCTTTAGGGACAAATACCTTGTCCAAATTACACAACACCAGTCAATAAATCAAAGTAGTTTCTGGTGTTAATAATAGCGGTTGTTGGGATAATTTGTGTTGTGAGTGGCGAGAGGATGCTCCACATTTAGTTCTGACCTTGTCAAATGATACACGCTAAAGGCGTGTTTCTCTTCACGTTCCTTCCACATGCTGACATACCCTGTCACATAAGTGTCTGTACTTATACGTGGCTCAATCAAACTGAAATAAATTAATACAGTAACACACATGCCTAGATACCAAGACTTTGTCACGAAACCACTGTTAACCAGTGCCACTGCAGTCATGTTCATTCTCTCAACATCCAGTATCACTACTTCTCATTATACTTCACCAGTCAAACGACGTCATGCGGATCTGTTTCTGGCAGTCCACCACCCCTATTCTGAAGCACACACGAAGCTGTCTGACCTACAACATGTTCCACACAGGGACTGCACGGGGATCATTCAAGGACACTGTCTGGTACATTCAACACAGAACGTGGAAGAAACATTTTCTCCACCGAGCGTGCTGGACGGCATCCATAGTCGATTCCTACAAGCTGTGACTCAGGCGATGAAGACTCAAAATGGCAGGACAAGATTTATCTTGATGTCTTCAAACCATGGTAGGTTCGTAACGTAATGGGAACACAGTTGACCATTGTCCACAGCAGGTTGGAAAGGGTTGCATTTTCTTGCTGGTCTTAGTACTTGATAACCCTGTAGATCCGGGTTAGAATTGATCTTCAGTAACCTTTTCTTGTTGTAAGAGGCGACTAACAGGATCGGGTGGTCAGGCTCACTGACTTGGTTGACACATCTCATCGTATCCCAATTACGTAGATCGATGTTCATGGCAATCACTAGATTGTCAGGCCCAGACTGGATTATTTACAGACCGCCGCCATATAGCTGGAATATTGCTGAGTGCGGCGTAGAACTAAACTCACTCACCATAATTCCATCAGTTTCCTTATTTATAGACCAATGTCATATAGCTCCAATCAACCAACCTTGATATGGTTAATATAAGCAGTTGTGACTGAGTACTTGATATGGTTAATATAAGTACTTAAGCACCATTCCCAAGCACATTCGTTTACCAAACTAGTAGGCGCCTAAGACCTTCATCATCTCGGGCTTCACTCAAGCAAAATGGCTGACTTTGTATTGTCACTCAAATGCCGCTCAAATGCTATTTACGTGTATATCAATGTGTTTGTTGCCTTACGTCGCTGTGAGCAATATTCATGCTATACATTGTTACAAGAACTTAAAACATAACATGCCACCTCCGTGAAACGTTTTACGAGAAGAATGTTTTTCTGCTGAAAAAATAACGTAGCTAGTACGTGTACGAGTGTATTGTATCACGCCTGTGACTCGTGTATGGAGTTAACCAACTCATCGCACCACCCAATCGATACCTTTCAGTCGAACTTCATATTGGTTAGAGGACATCAGTTGTAAGACTAAGTCACTCACAAACTCACTCTTTTAAGATATTAAACTCTTGCCCCTCGATAAAAGTTAATAATGTTTGAAACATATTCTTTTCAAATATTTGAAAGAAAATGGACTTTAATGGCAAGAATAATTGCCTGGATAAATTCTCGCATACACATATCAATATTGTTGTTTTTAAGAGTAATATACATTTGAAGAAGGGAGTATATATTTGACTTGGTTAATTTCGTGATATCCTGCTGTTATACTCTGCAATCCACAGCCATTTACATGATGATTTGTATTTACTTAAACCACGCTTAAACTGCCTGAAAATAATAGATACAAATGTCTGTATTAACGATGTTTACTTTATCGTAGCACTGTTTGAACTCTCAACATTACTCGTGGCAACGAGTCCTATGACAACAGTAATGGCCCTTGAGATAAATGACAGAGGTTTCCTAACCCAAGGAGGAGATCTGAACACAATTTACAGAACATCAACAGATCATGCTGTTACTATCATCATAGCCTGCTCTGGTTCCTGCATCCAGAGCGTCATCAAACAGGTCTGTGAAAGTGTGCACGTGTCATAATAAATACTACTTCCGGTGCGAGGTTGTCAATTTCTGATAGCATCCGGTACAAACAAATTGTACGAGAGATCACTGCTTATAGGAGACTGGCATTTGCAGTTTAACTGTGATATCATTTACACTTACAACTGGAATTTTGCAGAAACTAGAAGATTATCCAAAATTATCAAAAATTATCCAGAATTCCTTGATCTTCCCCAACTACACAAAACGATTGAAGTCGAGTACCTGCATTTCAGAATGAATAGATCTACGATAATCATATGAGAAGTGATATATATTACCCATCAAAAGTTTAGACTCACTAGTGTAAATGTAGCCACTTACTTAAGTCAACTGTTCTAAACCAGATTTTGCAAAATATTCAATACTGCTTAAAGCTACTGTTTACACATGGACTGATGTATTGTAAAAGAAAGTTGTAACGTTCAAAAGATTATTGTCATGAGTTTAGTTATGATGAAACTCAAGTGAAAATTGGCGAATTCTTAACGCAACTTTGACATGCCCGATGTTTGCACAATGTCATGCTTTTCAGCAATCTGATGCATGGCCCTCGCGCAATTCATCTGCATAAGGTTTGCAGTTGGTTAGTGGTGAAATTCATCTTCGATGTAACCACATATGCATACATAACATATAGTGAGTGTTTTAATGAGTCTCAACTTTTGATGAGTAGTATATTACAACAGTCAAAGCCCTAGTAGAGCAACTATTTGCAAACTGTCTTTTAGACATTTCCAAATCTGACATCTCCAAAGATTAATTCCAAGACAATTCCTTTCACTTGCACAACAATAGAATCTTTTCCAAATTATATGGCATACGTGTGGAGGCGCATTAATTACCCTGTTTAACGTGGACTAAATGTTTCCGTGCTTTTTCAGACGAGCAATTGACATGCCTTTGCGTGTATTTGTGACAGGTGAATACGTTAGATCTTTTGAGAACCACCAGGATGGTATCACTATTTGAAAGTGATTCTTAAACACATGTTCATCATGAGTGAGTGAGTGAGTTTGGTTTTACCCCGCTTTTAGCAATATTCCAGCAATATCACGGCGGAGGACACCAGAAATGGGCTTCAAACATTGTACCCATGTGGGGAATCGAACTCGGGTCTTCGAGGCTACCCCATCGCCCCACATGTTCATCATGACATCTTAGTGAAGACTTTATGTGATTGAGGGAATTGTTTCTGTTACTGAGTATTTAAATTATAGATACATGATCTACAACTGAATCAAAAGCACGACTCGACAAGAAACATCCGATGGCTACTCGCAATCACAGATCAAACAGATGATGCTGGCATTATGGTCGACGCCGACAACATCACCAGCTTTGAAGTAGTTGCAATTAATCTAAAACCGTGCGTCGTTCAATACACCTCTCAGGTAGAACATTTATCTTATTGCATTATGTTTACATTTCTTATGAGTCGTTTCAAATATATGTAAATATAGAGGCAATATAATCAGTCTCTTTGTATAACAAAACACAATGACCATATTATTTTGAAGAACGCACCTATCCCCTTTCGTTCAAAAAGGGGGAATTTGATTAAACGGCATTGATGTACAAGTATGTGTCCCTCAGATTCACATGTAAAAAGCGTCTCTTTAGCCCGTGATTTGCTTCCAATCCGTGTGCCAGGATCCTCTGATCCCTGATCTGTCACAAATCCCTGATTTATCCCAGCTCGTACAGGCAGTGTTAAAGGTCCACAAACCGTTTATGCAAGGGCAATTCTACTGAAATTTCGCCCCAAACGAAACCCACTTACACGCTGGCACATGATATGTTTTGTTTTTCCTTCCATCGGCTTGTTGAAACAGTAAATATACTTGTTTCAATTTCTCCAATCATTTCTTTGTATTCTGAAAAACAAATGTCTCAATTCTAGGATATTGATGACATTAGTCGAGGAATTGCATCTGTAACTTCAAAAAAGAATGGAATAAAAACTGCATACTCTGCTCTGAAGGTACGTATGGAATAAGTTTCACTATTTAAATCTGTAAGGTTCATTTCAAAATGTTTGACAATGTTCATCTTGCTTCATTTACATGTACCATTTCAGAATCACATGATCCTAGTTTGCTAGTACGTTAAAGAATAGTAATAATGAAGCGAAAATATTGTTCATCTATTCCAGGAGAGAAGCAGACTGAAATGCAGAATTAATTCCAAGTTCTGGAAATATATGTGTGACACCTGTGGTTTGAACAACAAAACCCTTAGATTGGGAATTAAACAGGTAACGTTAACATTGTTATTCAAGTTGAACTGGCCCAGGTCCAATAGCAACTTCCCCAAATAAAAAATGGTCTACGTTTTTTAGCGAAAACATTCTAGTTTCTGACACTTATATAACAGGTATTAAAATAGATTTAATATGTATCTAAAAAATCTTCTTGTTGGAAAACGTTGTCATATGCCCAAGCAAACTAAATATTATGTTCATTAATATTTATATTATGTGTCTGATGTGTAATGTTTCTAAATATGTCTCTGAAGAAATATGCTCTTTTGTAACAGATGATAGGCAAACACTCATTTGATTGAGCGTCAGTCTTCCAGACGCGTGGTACACATATTTGCTTACTTTATCGGCTTTAGTAACACAAGTACAATACTTTCGGAACATAAGCAAAGATGTATTTTCTACTTCTGTGAGCGAAAGTAGGTCGTTGGTGTGTACCAACTCAATATGACTCCTTTATTGTGTTTTTATGTCCTATTTCTTTTAACCAAGTCCCCAGGCTTCATTGTGAAGACGATAATCAACGGAACGGCCCACTATACTGGAATGACAATCAACCTCATCAAACAGATGGCTAAAGCATTGAATTTCAGGTACAGAGTTCCTATTCGAATATATAATGTAAACCAAATAGTAGATAAGTATTGGGATATTGAGATGGGGATAATTTAGTTTGGCAAAGTTAAGAAAGTAAAACTTGAGTGGAGAAATGTTATTAAGAATTTACTAACGGGTGAATACATGGCAGGTTTTATGGATAGCAACTTCTTGTTTATTTTCATCACGACGTTTCTGAGCCAAATCTTGCTCCTTCATCAGATGATCCATAAAACGTGTCATGTATTCATATTCGTCCAACTTCTAAATGCCTCTCAAGAACCTTAATACAAACGGATATTGTTTTGTTTTAAATGATTCTTTAATTTTATCTTTTGTTAGACACATTTAATCTCCGTTCATTCTAGAATTGAAATATCAGAATGAAACTGTATCAAACATACTTTAGAAAATTTATTTTTAGTATTTTGTATGTATTTCTGTGAAAGAAAATTATGTTTTATCACCAAACAATCCTGTTGTTACAGCTACGTCTTGCTGGAACCGGAAGACAACGAGTGGGGCCGGGAGATCAACGGGTCGTGGACAGGTGTTGTTGGAGATCTGTTGTCAGGGGTAAGTCCACACTGCTTCTCTCTCGACTGTCGTCGTCGCTGATCACCTAACCTTTTTACAGAGGTGATGCCATCAATGGAACTGACATGGGGGACAGAGACGCTTTGTGTCCGTAGGTACTGTCACTGTCATCGTTTCCAGAGCACCTTGCGGGGCCCCGTTTCACAAAGCTATCGTAGCGCTACGACTGTCGTACCTCCTATACTGTAACATAGACTTACGACAGTCGTAGCGCCATGGTAGCTTTGTGAAACAGGGCCCAGAACTCTACTGCTTGGCGCATGAGGCGACTAATTTGGTTTCGGTGACTCGGTGGATTGCGTGTCATCAAGCTACGTTGTACATTATATCAATCAGCATTTTCAGCAGAGTGAGTGAGTAAGTATGGTTTAAAGCCACTTTTATCAATATTCCAGCAATATCACGGCGGGGGACACAAGAAATGGGCTTCACACATTGTACCCATGTGGGGATCGAACCCGGGTCTTCAGCGTGACAAGCGAACGCTTTAACCATTGGGCTACGCCACCCTGGCTCATACCAGATTATGTATCTTGAATATTGCTGAGGACTTCGTTAAACAACAACAATTTAATAAAAAAAATTCCAATCCAATTATTCGTGATGCGCATTAACAGAATTCCAGTTATATCACGGACTATCAGCATAATATACGAGGATCCACACTTGTGATATTTGACTGAGATATGTTCTATCCTCAGTTTTTCATTTTCTTTTAACATTTAGTGAAATTAATGCGGCGTTAAGCAATACACACTCATTCTCATATCGCATTAATAATAACATGGCGAACGGCATTTTCATCAGAAGGCTAGACAGACCAACTGTACAGCATAAAAATTGATATACATGATATGATATATCGACATTTTCATCACAGAGCTAGACAGACCAATTGTACAGCATAAACAAATTATATGCATGGTATCGTTGTGTCTTCCTTGATTAGTTGACAGCCTTTAATGTCATTGAAATTGATGAACGTGAAGGAATCGATGCTTCCAAGTTGATACTGAAAGTATGCAGTATTCAGGTTTGGCTTCCTACAACAAACCATCCACCACATTCCATGAAGGATGTTGGTAGAGCATACACTAAGTATCTCTCATGTTTCATAATGACTGCTTTGTAAAGATCAATTTTAGTCTAGCTTACCATGTCTTGGACAGAAGATGTCTCGAAATCAATTATTCACCTGTTGAAAGAATCAAAACTAGTCCTTCATTTCCGGTGAAGTAATCTGAACCTTGTCAGGGAATTGAAGAGAATAAGAAAATCGATAAGAAGCGCCACACGTTTTGTTGTCATCAGGACATTTGTCGGATGACTCGCCATCTTGCGATAACGCGTAAATTAGAGTAGCCAGCATTTGGCCTAATGAATCTACCTTGGAAGGTACTTTCTAAATTTATTTACATCATTTTGTGTTTGGGGAAACAATACTGTCGCGTGGTGTAAGGTTTGCAGTGTCCTTACAACCATATTTGAAACACTCATAAGAAATATAAATCTCTCACATGGTGTCTCAGAAATGCAGATTTCCCAACAAATAGTTTAACTGGTGTTATTCCTTTAGATGTGTACGTTTTCTGTTAATGCCAATTGGGGTATATAAAAACCCAAATACTGTATCGGCAAAAACAATGGAAGATCATCATCTGGTTTATTCAAAGGACTGACTGACTGAGTTTAGTTTTATGCTGCTTTTAGCAATATTCCAGCAATATCACGGCGGGGGGACACCAGAAATGGGCTTAACACATTGTGCCCATGTTGGGAATCGAACCCTGGTCTTCGGCGTGACGAGCCAACGCTTTAACCACTAGGCCCTTATTCAAAGACCGCCTCCGTGGTGTAGTGGTCAGAGCGTCCGCCCGGAGAGCGGAAGGTCGCGGGTTCGATCCCCGACTGCGTCATACCAAAAAGACGTTAAAATATGGTACTTGTTGGTCCCTGCCTGGCGCTCGGCATTAATGGGTACAACAAAGACTGGTCGGCTCGGAGTCAGTATAATGTGTCTGAGTGGGGTATTCATGCTTCACTGCGGCATGGTATCTCAGTGGGCTAGCACTCTAAAACCAGCTTAAGTCTGGGCTAGTACAAGCAGCCGCACATACACATACACATGCATGCACGTCGTCATATGAGCGAAATATTCTCAAGCACGACGTAAAACCCAATTTCACCTCACCTCACCTCACCTTATTCAAAGGAATAACGAAAAGGCATATTTGACTGGATTAAATAGCAAATACCAAACTTTCTGCCTGTAGAGTTTAGTAATGGTGTATTTCTGTAGATAAAGTCTTGAATTTTACAAAAAACAATTGGCAATTGTGATATTCGAGTACGCCTTTCAAATAATTTACCAATTGGTTGATTTATTCTTACGTTCAAATCTTGTCATCAAGAAATGTCAGGCATATAGAAAATATGGTTTTAAAAACTCTAAGTCAATTTAATTTCAGAGAACAGATGTAATTGCGTCCCCACTGGCAGTTACTGCCGAACGAGCCGTCATTATGGACTTCACAGTGCCGTACTTCTATGACACGAGTTGCGTTGTCATTAAGACGCCGAACAACTACGACACAAAATGGCTGATTCTTGCAACCAAATTTCAGCACCTTGTACTCGTCTGCATTTTCGTCTCATTCGTATTCTCAACCATCTTCCTCTGTGTTTTGGAGGAAGTACAACCTGCCCTCTGGCCTGTCAGAAACTCGATGGGTCTGTGGAACCGATGTTCAGACACCCTTCTTGTCCACTTTGCCTCTCTTATGGCTAACGGTAAGATAATCGGACAGTGTTAAATTAGTGTTTAACTCAGGAGTTGTGTTTTTTACATCGAATTATCACGGCATGATAATGTTAATGTTAGAGGGAAGCCCAAATTAAGGCACGTCTTAGTCGTTGAACATTTTAGTGAAACTCACTAACTTGGGAATGGTGCTTATAAAGGAATGGAATCAAGGAAAACCAAGTTCTTTACTGCAATGAATGCGACGTTTCGGTGTAGATACAGCTTCTGAAAGAAGTAATAGAATCATGTCGAATTGAGCTGTTCGATCCCACGATCGGTATTGCCTGGCGAAGGAAATACTTCAATTACATTTCCTAAAAATGCATCTATTCACCTTTACTTAGAGCTAAGAAAATATAAATGAAACCATGCCAGCGTGACCAAGCTTTAGGTAAGGAATATTATTGAACGATGTGTTTGTGTACTTAACATCAGGAATAAGTGGATGCCTGCTCCCGGTCAGTCTCTCTGGACGCCTTGTCATGGGTGCCTGGTGGATCTTCTCTCTACTGACAGCAGCAGTCTACCGTGGAGACATCATCGCCTTCCTCACTGCTCCAAGAACCACATTGCCGTTCAACACTCTGGCTGAGATGGTGGCGCAAGAGGCGTACTCTTGGGGAACCCTTGGAGGGTCGGCGTATGAAACACTTTTTAGGGTAATGTTTTAGTGAACCATTTCTTTAGTGTGTCACTTGGTGTTTAGCTGTATTTGAGTGAACCATTTGCTTTGTAGATCACAGTGGTGTCATGCTGGCCTCTCACGCAAAAGGCCCGGGTTCGTTTAGGTGGAGACTGTATTTCTCAGTACTGTGTGGTGTCCCTGGGCAAGGCACTTCGTCCACAACTCAGTCCACCCATCTGTTTAAAATGGGTACAGAATGTACGGAACATTGTACTGGGGTAAACGCCAGAAACAGCATCGCGTTGGATTCTAAGCGCGTCCACGCATTGTGACGAGCACATGCTTTCAGAACAGTTCTATCCAACCACCATACTGAATACTTGGGTGAATTGAAATCAAATGTCCATTTAGTTTAGTTATATAGCAAACTGCTGATATAATTTGCAAACAGTGATACCTTGTTTGTCTGGACTCTCGTTATTCGAGAAACCTCGCCTCTCTGGCGATCTTGCCTTAAGCGTCGACTCATGGTTCCTACGTCGACATCATTGATTTGTCCAGGCATTTGTTATGTCAAACGATTTCCTTAGTATCCCTGTGGGTTAAATAGGTCTTCCTCCTTATTGGTCCACAACGCGTTTCCAATGGCGAAATCCTGCTATACATTTGGATTTACAATTCTTTAACCATTGACAAATGGGTACTGACAAATACACATACATGTAGACAGAAACATGTACCAAGGAAACCCTTCATTCATATGATCTGTGTTTTACTCGGTTCACATCTCAGCATTAATCCAACTGCCGTTCGGTTTCAGAATTCAAGCATACTTCAATACAAACAGGTTTGGGAAGGTATGGAATCAAGACTGGCATCTGATCCTAGTGTCCTCAGTGTTGATCTGAACGTGCACCTAGACAAGGTGAATACTGGACACTACGCCTTCATTACCAACACCTTGACGCTGAAGAACTGGAAAGTTAAGAACTGCGATCTGCGCATGCTGAGTGACACCTTCTACCCGCTGATGTTTGCTATGGTGCTGCCCAAAAATAGCAGCCTAACCGACATACTCTCAAAAGAGTAGGTCACGGGTGCATCGTCACCTGTATTAACCTCATGTTTATTATTTCATTATTAATCACGAGGTCGCGAAGTCAAAGGCAAGTCATTGTAAAAATACCACGTCTGGAAAAGGATTTTAAGAACGTTAATAACTATTAATTTTATTAATGAATGAAATACAAATACAAAAATGTTAATTGAAAACTTAATATTTAAAAATAATGTCATTTCATCTTTTGCAGGATCTATCGCCTCCGTGAGAATGGCGTAATTGAATATTGGTATAATCAGGAGACGTCTAACGTTAGTTGTATAGCAAGCAGTCATGACATGAAGAAGATTGACATCGTCGCGCTGCTAAGTGTCTTCTACGCTGCAGTCATTGGCATTAGCCTTGCTCTCGTGGCCCTGGTCGGTGAAATACTCTGTAGCAAATCCCGGCGTCCCGTCACTTCTCAGCAACAACCCACAACGAAGGAACATGTAGCATGACATCCCAGTTGGATGGAATGCCTATGTATATTTGATATGGCTGAGTGGGTTAGACCGCTGACTTTGTGCTGGCGATAAGGTGCCTGTTCCTAACAGTGCTCGTTCGATGGGACTCAACACAACACAAGTACTAGTATCTGTACTTTACTGAGAAAGTGTCATCCGAAATATAACACGTTACATTTGACCACTTTCTGAATGCCACTGTCTATATTCAGGGCATAATGCAGATGGATTACTCGGTTTGTTGAGGAGTAACTCGGGGATGACGTAAACTGACACGGCGAGGGGTGGAATGGCATAAAATGAAGTGGCCAGACATTTTGGTGTCCATCGAAACACGATCTCATATCTATGGAGAAGTTTCAACATAATGGGAACATGAGAGATTTGTCCGCGCGTGACGTCACGTCAGGAAGACAACCATACTCGGCTGTTCCATCTATGGTGAGCATGCACTAGTTGCGTGGATATGTGCGCTATATAAATATCCTATAACAATAATACGCTCGTGTTGTGACAGATTTCTTGAGACAACAAAACATTCCGGTACTCATCTGACCAGCTGTTTCTCCGGTCCTGTTCCCTATCGAGCACACTTGGGATGAAGTGGAGAGACGTTTTCGTCAAACCAAGAATCAGCCATTGACGTTTGCTGAATTGGGACTAGCGTTGGTTCAGACATCGAACAACATTCTCCAACCCTTCTTTAATCGCTTAGTATCGTCTATGCGTCGTCGTTGTCAAGCCTGCATCAACGCCAATGGTAGACACACACGATACTGAATTTGTGAACTGGCTTTTGGCACCACATCTCTTCAAGGGCGTGTCACGATGCCTAGTGTCAAATCTTACAGATTTCGATATTAACCTGTCAACTGTTAAACAGTGATTAAGGAAAACACCAGAAATCATGTAATTATCTTTTTGCATTAAGAAATGGCATACCATCCAATAACGCAATACTTTATTCCAGTACTATAGGTGATGTGCTATTGATCTCAAAGAGGTAGGTACTCCGAGTTAGCGCTAATTGGAGAGAGTTTATGTGTATAATGACTATACTCAGAGGGTTTTCATCACCTAGTGACATTCATCACAACCTATTTTCAACAATCCATTCATATATCAATTTTCACCGCTAATTGGTCACTTATGCCAGATGGTTTCTGTTTCGTCGGATAATAGAGAACAGATATTCTCCTGGTTGACCTTTTATGCTAATAAAGAACTGCAGTGTTTAAGATCGGACCATAGCATTTCTGATTGAGGTTGCTAAAAACACCATTACCTTGACGATTCGAAAAAACAATTGGAACCTTTGGAGCCAGCACAGTTACAAAAGCCTATTGCTGCCACATTTGTGGCATGAAGTATATTTTTCTCGTTGATTTGATTGTTTTCAGTAAATTACTTTTAAATTTACGCCCTTTGAAATCTTACTTAATAACTGTTCACCGAATAGTGATTCAAGCCAAGTGTTTCTCTTTCATTCCAGGCCACTGGCCCATAGACCTAAGTGCACAAGATACACAACATAACATTTACATTGCGCCTGTTGTTACAATACGCTTACAATGGGCAAGGTAAAGATAACATAATTGTTGCATAGGAGCTTCATGTTTAGTGTTAAACAGAGAGAAAGAATAGTTGGACAGTAGTATAAACTCAATGGAAAGACTAAAGGTATTGCTTTAATAAGAAAATGGAAAACAGTTGGGTCTCAATGACAGTTCTCAGATCCGAGAAGCTTATATATCGTTGTTCTTTTACAATCGAAAAGTATTTTCTGACACTGAATTTCAATTCTGTTGAGGACACATTAAACTCTACTTTACTTTTAAAGACATTTGTGTTTCCACAATTGTTTTGCTGAATCATGCACAAGCTTTTTAAAAGAGGATAGCGAAGTTTGAAAAGCGGTGGCCCTTATATTATAACCTGTACTGCCATATACCAAGGTATATTGTACGATTTCCTTGGTACTATCCTTAAAGGTCACATGCAACCAAATAATCAAACATAATTAAAACACAATTATCACTTATTCATAACATATAATATACATTGCTGGTTATGAAAAAACATATAAACAAAATTATAAGCGTACAATCGCAAATCAAAAGTGCAATATTTTGTACTTGGGTTTACTTCCTAAGAAACGAAGCAGCCGGGATACCGAACCCAGTCAGAGTGGGTGGGTGTGCACTCAAGTGTAACGGCTGGTTCATTTGCAGATGCCCTCACGACTCATTGTGTGTGTATATATAGAGATGTTGGGTTTTGTAAATATTTTTTGTGTATAACATTTTGCAATCAACAGACATCATAACATGTCATGTGTACAAGTATCACACCTGCCTGTCTGTGTAATTACATAATGTGACAGATACCGAACTCGGGCCATAAATCAATGCGTTTTGTTTATGGTGTATAGCCTGATAGGTGTTAAGTTCAAATTGCATGTGGTCAGTGATCGAAGTTGTGTATTGAATATTGTCATTAGCAGTCGGGCAGGCAGACACATAGGTGTCAATAAAAGACATTCAGTTTTGTCTGTGACAACGACATATCTATATCTATATCTATTTCACAGTTAGAAATTCTGTTAACGCTAAATAATGACATTGCTTGTAAGTATCGAACTGAGAAAGTGACTCGGTTAGAAGAACGTGTGGTAAAACAGACAAATGAAATTATATAAACAGTTAAATCGGTAATCTACTGTCATAACATATAAAAAGCTCGCGCCTGTGAAATATCCACAAAATATTAGCAATATTAGCAATATAATAATAATAATAATAATAATAATAATAATAATAATGTGTCCATTTATATAGCGCCAAACGCCACACTAGGTATGCTCATAGCGCTAACAATCAAGGCCATTATTACCCCGGATAACCCAAGCTGCCTAGTGAATCGTTTGAACTCCGATTTCGCGCGGGTTTTTTCATGGCGTTATTTTTTAACTTTTAAGTTGAATTTACATTTTTGATGATTTGTTTCGGTAAGTCCATACCGAAAGGTATCAGAATCTGCAAAGTTGTGTTTTACGTTGCATGTGACCTTTAATGGACATACAACATGATATTTCATGCCAAAAATACATAGCTCGTATAAACGAGCTTATGTGCAATGGGTAACGTCTACTTCGCAGTATGCTGTAAGATATGGGGTATTGATGCCTATGTATGGGAGTGAGTGAGTTTAGTTTTACGCCGCTTTTAGCAACATTCCAGCAATCTCACGGCGGGGAAAACCATAAATCGGGGCGTGACTTTTAACACACTCCACCACCCCTTTATATAGGAAGTTTTAATCGAACCCATATACCCACATAACACAATAGGTTGTACCCACATTCGGCGTGACGAGCGATCGCTTTAACCATAAAACGGTTGAGGTTACTCTGTCACCAGTCCTACTAGGGTTGTTAGACTCCATGGGAGGTTTATATAGGAAGTTTTACATCTAAGAATATACTTTCTCTATATTGTCAAACCATATACCCACATAACACAATAGGTTGTACCCACATGTCTAATTTCTTAACCGCCATGTATGAATACAGTTATCGTGTTCAGTTTTCTAAGTGTTTCTGTACGTCAGTTTCTTACTCATCAACGCAAAATTAATAGACATTAAGATATATACGGAATCATAAAACGGTTGAGTGAATTTCTCAACAATGGAACAGGTTCTGTCGCTTTCATTAATACAGTCTTCTACTAGGCTTGTTAGACTCTGTATAGAAGTGTAACGAATAATACTGAGCCTAAGTTTACTGACACTGACAAAGACAGATGCCATGTCTTCAGACATACAACTGTATACATGGGAGGTGATGTTATTCAGCTTGTGCAAATACTGCAAAGCAAAACTGCTCTGTTACTTATTGCACTTTGGGGATATGCTTTTTCTCTTTGGCTCATACATAACTTTAATGGCATCATGGCAAAGCTATAATTTTGCGTAATTTCAACCAGGTCCTGACTTGTGTCATTGATTCAGCATTGATAACACCAAAGGCTGAAGCTGTTGGAAGTATTTGAGACACCTAACCCCTTGGTCAGTACGACCAATATTTAACTTGACGCTAAAACCTGAATACTTGTCCGCTCCTGCATCTACTCAAACCTATATCAACTTAAACGGAAAAGCTTTGAAAGATTTATTAGGGATTTTACTGAATTGTAATGCAAAGTTCGATATGAAACTGTTGCTATCATTCATTAAATATACACCGAAAAACAATAGGACCGAAACCTAATGATAAGGACCTGTTTATGTACGCCTCTCCGTGGTGGATATAGATAAGGGAATTGTTATTTTCTCTGAATTAAACAAACCTACATACCCCAGTTAGCTTTGATCTCCCGAAGCTGGGTAACTATTGGGTTCCAAGTGCAGCAAGCAAGAAATGTCAGTTAAATAGTACATTTAATTGAAAATTAACATTCATAATGACATGCTGGTCTCTATTCATAAGTCTCATGTGGTAATTCCCACATTGAAACGTTAGGTTTATCCAGAAATCAGCACATATTCTTGATAGTGAAATGAGCAAACAGCCACACAAGGTAAATGAACAAGGTTGAATCAACAGAAGAGTTAAACCAGAGAAACTTAAGGCAATACAATGAAAGGAAAATGTGTGATACAACAGCAGAAATATATCGCACAGGTAGACCGTCGGATAGCACAACATATTGGAATATTGATCGAGAGGTTTCTGCATCGAACACAGGTAAAGAACCTTGAAATAAGCTTGCAGAAAGCTTCCAGGTTACACTATACCAAATCACCGTATTTTAACAAGCACTTTCGTCCGGAACCTTCAATGCAGGTTGAATCATCTGACAGCTGTGATTGGGTAATTTTGTGTAAGAGATGTGTGTATTTTAAAAGTACACCCACCCAGTAATCATAACTGACCATTTTTGCAAATATTTAGTGCTGTCCTTTTTCACTGATGACTAATACTGAATGTGACC